TGAGTACCTAGCATTCAGTTGTGAGCCACCAGTGCCTGGCTGATTTTGTTTTTTGTTTGTTTTTGGAACATTTTGTTATATACCTTATAGCTAATCTGGAATTCATGATTCTCCTGCCTAAACCTGCATAGTAGTAGATTACAGCATTGATCTAAAAGTCATGTTTTGAAAAGTTAAAGCTTTATAAGGTATCTAATGCCATTTTAAAATAGCATTATATTCCATTTTAGTTTTTAAAAACAATCTAATATGTAAGTTAATAAGTTTAGTAGTACTTCTCATTCTTTTACATTGCTTTAGACTTTTGACAGGATTGAATTGTTTGACTATAATAGGTAATGCTGATGGCTAGCCCTAGTATGGACGATTTGTATCATAAGTCATGTGCTCTTGCTGAAGACCCACAAGAACTTCGAGACGGATTTCAGCATCCTGCTAGACTTGTTAAGGTATAATGAAACATTTATCTTAATTTTAGGTGTATATTCATTTATCTTAGTTTTTTGGTTTTTTTTTTATGTGTGTGTATGTGTACATAATTTTAAAACTTCATTTTTTTAACGATTTTAAATATTCTTAAAGCAACGTGTTTTTGATTTTATGAAAAGTTTTAATATTAAGGTACAGTGCTAGTCTTGAGCACAGAGAGGCTCAGGGACAATGCCCAGGCCCTGAGTTCAAGCTCCAGGACTAACAAAAACAAAATAAAATATTATGAAGGTACAAGTAAGTCAGTCATGTAGCTGTTTTTTTTATTGCTGATTATGACCAGATCTTATTTTACATAACTAATTTGTTATTTTGATGTGTTTGTAGTAAAGTGTTAATGATAATGGGATTCAGTTTTTTTGGATGCTGTTCAAGTTCAAATTATAGCTTGTTTTTTTTAAATAGCTCTTTATTATGAAGTATTTTAAGGATGAGTTATGATGTGTAAATCCTATTCCATTGCTGAAATGCAGTGTGGAAAACAATGACTCTGAACTCTTCCTTGACTAACAGATACCAGAGGTAGTAAAAATGATATTGGGAAAGTTTGTACCTTTCCTTTTCAAGTATTTATTTGTAATGTAATAGATATGTAATATATGTAAATGATTATTTGTTTTGACTTAGTTTTTAGTGGGCATGAAAGGCAAGGATGAAGCCATGGCCATTGGAGGCCACTGGTCTCCTTCGTTGGATGGACCAGACCCAGAAAAGGATCCCTCTGTGTTGATTAAGACTGCTATTCGTTGTTGTAAGGCCCTGACAGGCATTGATCTAAGTGTATGCACACAATGGTAAGTATTGATTCATTTCTGTATTAGAAATGTTTTTGTAATAGTTTACGTAGAGGTTCTTTTCAATCAGCCTTTTCCCCTTCCTTATTTTAGCAACATTCATCATGCAGGTAATCTCAAAAGAAAATCCCCACTTATAGCAAAAATTTACTTGGTGCCAAAAAATGTTTTTTGGGGGGAAAGGATTAAGAACTAATCAAATAAACTGAAAGTTTAAATGTTTCATTTTGCTGTACTATTAAAGTTGGATGTATGTTGAAAATACTTTTCATTTCATGTATAGCTGGAGAAGATCGTCAAGAGAGAACTTCATTTCATTTTAATTCTTTTGTTACAAAATGGTGTAGTTGCTGGTTATTTTTGTTCAGCCATATTTTCTCTTGAGGCTTATTTGTCGTGTGTATTTTGGTATATTTCTTGACTTAATTGAGCATATTCTTTTTTAGCACATGAAATCTGAATGGCTATCCAGCTTCTTCAGGTATTCTCTAAAATATGGGTAGCTGTGTCATCAAACTTGAAAATGCCTTGTGGGAGCATATTCTTTTACCTAATAAAATATTGTACAAATGTACCAAAAGAGGAACTATGGCTTCTATAATTTTTTTTTTCTTTAGACCAACTTCAAGTTCTTGCAGCAAAATTTCTTTACTTGATGTGCTACAAGTGAACTAGGGTCTTTAAAATGTATATTAGAATTTTTTTTCCAACATGCTTCTTCCCTTGCAACAGGTACCGTTTTGCAGAGATTCGCTACCATCGCCCTGAGGAGACCCACAAGGGGCGTACAGTTCCAGCTCATGTGGAGACAGTGGTTTTATTTTTCCCGGATGTTTGGCATTGCCTTCCCACCCGCTCAGAGTGGGAAACCCTCTCCCGAGGATACAAGCAGCAGCTGGTCGAGAAGCTTCAGGGTGAACGCAAGGAGGCTGATGGAGAACAGGCACTGAACGCTAATCCCTTTTTCTATTTCCGCTTCTCACAGGCACAGGAACACAGGCACAAATGCACATCACACACTACATAACAAACACACATGGAGGAACATAACTGGTAACAACGACTGGTAATCCAGCTTTCAGTAGTATAGTTGTATATTCTTTTCTCTGAAAATTCTGTCTGTTATGCTAACTTTAAAGTGCTGAGACCTCAAAAGAAAATAAGTTGTGCTTAAGTTGCACAGAATTTTGTTTTTATCTTAGGTCTAGTTGCTGGAATCTGGGACCAGTTGTTGAGCAAGATTCAGTATTAAGCCATTTTAAACATTTTGCCATTTTCTAAAATTTAAAAAATTTTCTCTTTCACGGTCATCAGTTCTAGTCATGGATATTTGAAATTGGACAACCACAAGTCTGAGAGATTTGAAATTTCAGGCTATGTGGCAACGTCTTTGGTATATTTCAAAGGTCTCACTAAATCAATCTTTGGGTGGCTTGAAAATTGGGGCAAAATCACACACTGTGTGGTTAGTGGAGACCGGCAGTGTTTGTGCATCCCTGATATCCTTTGTGTTGTAATTTATCACCCTTTTGTGTTTCACAGATCTGGCTTTGATTGGCTGATGAGTGTCTTTGTGATCAGTTAAAAGTGGTAGAATGTATGTACGTGGACTTGCCTAAATAATAACTTTAGGAGAAGACAATCTGAAACATTTGTGACCTTGCACAGATCAGCAACAGACTTTTAAAAATAAATTACCTGTATTTTAAAGTTTTAGAATAGTAATTATGTTCTTAACTTTGTATGATAGGATGAAGAAGAAAAGGATGATGGTGAAGCTAAAGAAATTTCCACTCCTACCCATTGGTCTAAACTCGATCCAAAGACGATGAAGGTATCTTGAAAAACTTTTGTTGTTGTTGTTGGTTATGGGGCTTGAACTCTGGGCCTGAGCGCTGTCCCTCATCTCTTCAGCTCAAGGCGAGCACTCTACCACTTGAGCTACAGCGCCACTTCTGGTTTTCTGAGTGTTTATTGGAGATAAGAGTTTCATGGACTTTCCTGCCTGGCTTGGCTTTGACCCGAGATCCTCAGATCTCAGCCTCCAGAGTAGCTAGGATTACAGGCGTGAGCCACTGGCACCCGGCCTTGAAAAACTTTTTTTTTTCTTTTTTTCTATTTTTGGTCAGTCCTGGGGCCTGAACTCTGGGCCTGGACGCTGTCCCTCAACTCTTCAGCTGAAGGCTAGCACTCTACCACTTGAGCATCAGCCCCATTTCTGCCTTTTTCTGCTTATGTGATGCTGAGGAATCGAACCCAGGGCCTCATGCATGCAAGGCAAGCACTCTACCACTGAGCAACCTTCCCAGCCCCTTTGAAAAACATTTTTAACTTTTATTTTAAAATATCTGAATAGGAATGAGCAATGTTAATTAGACTGAGGACTGTGTGTGTTTGTGCACATGCATGTGTGCCTTAGTACTGAGGTTTGAACTTAGATCATTGTGCTCTCAGCTTTTTGACTCAAGACTGACCCTAACTTGAGCCAAGCCTTTACTTGTGGCTATCTGCTGGTAACAGGAAATAAAGGTCTCCTAGATTTGTCTGTCCTGATTGGCTTTGAACCTTGATCTTCAAATCTCTCAGTCTCCTGAGATTATAGGTGTGAGTTACCAGTGCCTGGCTTTAGGGTATTTTTTTTCAAGGAGGAAAATGCTAAATTTATATAACTACTATATTTTTTATATTTGTACATATGTGTGTGTATGTGTAAGTTGAAAGGTAACTATATATCAGTTCACTAGCTGGGATGCCTGTGATATACACATGCCTGTGTTATTAGTAATGCTGATTTTTGGTTTGGGAACTGACAGAGAAGGCAGAATTTTTGTGCCTAAAGTAACTTAAACTCAAGGAGATAGATGGAAAAATGTATTTTTTCTTTTTCTTTTTTCTTTTTATACTGTATCAATAGAAATACCAGGTTTATCATGGATAAAGCCAAAAAAACCAACGATGCCAGATATTGAATTTCTATTGCACTGTCCTTTGAACGAAAAATGTATTTTTTAAACAAAGGAAAAATGACGTTTAAATTTAAAACAAAAGACATGTATGTAAACTAGAGTTAAACATTTTAGAAACCTTTTTTTGGGGGTGTGTGTGCAGATCTTGGGGTTTGAACTCAGGACCTGGGCACTGTCTCTGATCTTCTTTTGCTTAAGGCTAGTACGCTTAACTACTTGAGCCACAGCACCACTTCTAGGTTTTTTGGTAGTTTAGTGGAGATAAGAGTTTCAGGGCTGGGAAGGTGGCTCAGTGGTAAAGTGCTTGCCTTGCATGCCTGAGGTCCTGGGTTTGATTCCTCAGCACCACATAAGAAAAAAGAAAAAAGCCGCAAGTGGCACTGTGGCTTAAGTGGTGGAGTGCTAGCCTTGAGCTGAAGAACTGAGGGACAGGACCCAGGCCCAGAGTTCAGGCCCCACGACTAGACCAAAAAAAAGAGTTTCACAGACTTTTCTGCCCAGGCTGGTTAGAACTATGATCCTCACATCTCACCTTCCTGAGTAGCTAGGATTACAGGTGTGAGCCACAAGTGCCTGGCTTAAAAACTTTCTTTAACCTTCATTAGTTCTACTTTCCAATGTATCTGCACCATTTGTCTCTTTTCACTTTTGTATCTCTTTGCCTATAATGTGACTAATACATCTGAGCCTGTAGATGAATATTACTTTCTACTAGAGTTTGTTACTTAGCATAGAAAAATTGACTTTGGTTTTCAGTTTTGGATTCTTTTATGATTCTTGGAGTGTGGCCTATCCCTTAGCTTTTTAATTCAATTTTGGTACTCTACCACATGAGCCACAGTTCTGCTTTGGACTTTTTGGCTGAGATCTACGGATCAGGTTCCCTGCTAGCCTGGGAAGGAAAGTCCATTGAGACTGTTTTTCTTCTTCGTTCTTTTTGCCAGTCCTGAGGCTTGAATTCTAGGCTTGGGAAGTATCCCTGAGTTCCTTTTGCTCAAGGCTAGCAATCTACTAGCCACAAAACCACTTCTAGGTTTTTCTGTGGTTTAGTTAGAGATGAGGCTCATGACTTTCCTGCTCCACTGGCTTCTAACGGCGGTCCTCAGATTTCAGCCTCCTGAGTAGCTAGGGTTACAGGTATGAGCCACTAGCACCTGCTCCTTTTTCTTTTTTCTTTTTTTTGTCAGTCGTGGGGCTTGAACTCTGGGCCTGAGCGCTGTCCATCAGCTCTTCAGCTCAAGGCTAGTGCTCTACCACTTGAGCTACAGCGCCACTTCCAGTTTTCTGGTGTTTTATTGGAGATAAGAGTTTCACAGACTTTCCTGCCCAGGCTGGCTTTGAACGAAGATCCACAGATCTCAGCCTCCTGCGTAGCTAGGATTACAGGCGTGAGCCTCCGGCGCCTGGCAGCACCCGCTCCTTGAGACTCCAGTTAACCACCAAAAAGCCAGAAGTGGAGCTATGGCTCAAGTGGTAGAGCACCAGCCTTGAGTGAAAAAGTGCAGTGATAATGCCCAGGCCTGAGTTTTAAGTCCCAGTACTAGCACAAAAAATAATATACATCAGGCAGAATGTAATTACAATTTGGAGATATCCCATTTTTCTTTTGTGTTTTTTCACACTGCATATAATTAGGTAAATGACCTCCGAAAAGAATTAGAAAGTCGAGCTCTTAGTTCCAAAGGATTAAAATCCCAATTAATAGCTCGACTGACAAAACAACTGAAAGTAGAAGAACAAAAAGAAGAACAGAAGGAGTTAGAGAAATCTGAAAAAGAGGAGGAGGAAGAGGATGATAGGAAATCTGAAGATGATAAAGAGGTATGTAATTAACATTTAAGTATACAATAATGCTACTTATTGGTCTTTATGGGGTTCTTAAGTCAATATATATGACTTAAGTTGTATTTGTGTATATAGTTATAGTGAAGTATAATTTACTTGTAGTAAAAACAGACTCTTTGTGTGGTGGTACTAAAGATTGAACTCAGGATCTCACACTTGGTAGGCAGGTATTTACACCTCTGATGTTTTTTGTTTGTAATTTTGCTGGTCCTAAGGCTTCAACTCAAGGCCTGGGTACTGACCCTGAGCGTCTTTTGTCCAAGACTTTGCTCTAGCACAGTACCCCTTGAACCACAGCTCCACTTTCAGGTTTTTTGGTAGTTCATTGGAGATAAGAGCCTTAATTGGAGATAAGATCCTTGCATACTTTCTTGCCCCAGCTGGCTTTGAATTGTGATTCTCAGATCTTAGCCTCCTGAGTAGCTAAGATTACAAGTATGAGCCATTGGCTCCTGGGTTTTTTGGTGGGGGGAAAGAAGGGGAGGGGAGGAGTGTGCAGGGTCGGGGGAGAGTGTTGAACTCAGGGCCTGGGTACTCCCCCTGAGCTCTTTCACTCAGGACTAGAGATCTACCACTTTGAGCCACAGCTCTACTTCTGATTGTCTGGAGATAAGAGTCTCCATGGTTTTTGGTTTGGATATGTGTGTTACTTTAGGTGTCAGAATTCAGGAAGATCCAAAGACTATATAACAACTCTATTTTCTCAAAATTCTCTAGTTTATGTGTAATCTCGGTGTAGGTTAGAAATTTTTTCCTTCTTGGTAGGTAGTTTCTTATAATTGAAAATATAAAAGAGAATTAGCCATAAAAGCTATTACTACCTTTAGGAAGCTTGGCTTTTATTTGTTTTTCAATCCTTTATGCTAAACTTAATTACCTTAAAAGGTCATGAGGATTTTGCCTTTTTCCTTAATACACATGTTTTATATACATATGTGTTATACATGGAGATTTAATCATGACTTATAATTTCAAACAATAGGAGGAAGAAAGAAAACGTCAAGAGGAAATGGAACGTCAGCGTCGAGAAAGAAGATACATTTTACCGGATGAACCAGCCATCATTGTTCATCCAAATTGGGCTGCAAAAAGTGGCAAATTTGATTGTAGCATCATGTCTTTGAGTGTCCTATTGGACTACAGATTAGAGGATAACAAAGAACATTCATTTGAGGTAATGTTTTAAGTTTAACTTAAGGAATGGCCACAATTGCAGCTGGTTAATATATCTTAAATTTATTTATTTTTTTGAAAAATTATTTATCGCTTTTATTATCTTCAAATAGTTATACAAAGGCGTTTCAGGTGAACATGTAAATTTATGGTACATGCATGTTGATCAGTATCTTCCCCGTTATTTTTGTTGCTGTTGTTCTCACTGGGAAAAAACCAACTGGTTTGTTACTCAAGAGTTTCCTACAGATTCACCTTTATTAATTTTATTCTTACATCTATGTCCTGTCTATGTGTCTGTAAATATCAGGAGAGAGAGAGAGAGAGAGAGTGTGTGTGTGTGTGTGTGTGTGTGTGCGCGTGTGCGTGTGTGTGTGTGTGTGCACGCATGCACGCACTGGGGTTTAAACCTCACACTGACTAGGTTGGCATTCCATCACTTTATTCATGCCTCTAATAAGGCTTTTTGCTATTTATTCTCAAGATAGAATCTAGTGAACTTTTTTTTTTGGGTGGGGGGGTCCAGTCATGGGGCCTGAACTCTGGGCCTGGGGGCTGTCCCTCAGCTCTTCAGCTCAAGGCTAATGCTCTACCACTTGAGCCACAGCACCACTTCCGGCTTTTTTCTTTTTGCTTATGTGGGGCTGAGGAATCGAACCCAGGGC